ACTACGCCTGCTTCTAAGACAAATGATAATAAGGACCTTTGTTTTATCTGTTTCCTTTTTTATTTCTGTAAGATTTTCTCATTCTGTGTTATCATCCTGATCATGGTGCTCGGTGTTCTATTTCATTAAGTCATGGATGTTTAAAGTTGAACTTTTTCACATTTGTCTAACATGATAGTTTACACTTCATTCATTGAGTATGACGCTGCGCTGTCATTAAGCTTGTCCATGTTTGTGATTGGTCAAATGTTGCTAATCCTGCCCCTTTCACATGAACGCGCTCTCAGCCGGACAGAGAAACCCTGGGTTGATTTACCGAGTTGATAACTGTTTTTTCTTCTCTTTTTTTAATGGAAGTCTGTCAAAGATGAAGACAGTCACTTGAGGAGTACCTCAGGGTAGTTGTTTGGGACCACTTTTATTTTCTATTTTTACAAATGACCTACCATTAGTGTTAGAAAAAGCAACAATTGTAATGTATGCAGATGACTCAACAATATATTATGCAGCATCGACTACAAGAGAGTTGACAAATGTTATGAATAAAGATCTACTACTGATATCAGAGTGGGTCATAAATAATAAGTTAGTACTTATTCTGAAAAAACAAAATCTTTATTAATAGGATCAAATCATCAGTTAAAAGTTTAACCAAAATTGCAAATACATTTAAACCATATTCAAATTGAACAGGTCAAGGAGACAAAATTGCTAGGTATAACCCTGGATCATAAATGATCTTAGTCCAAACAAATTGATAATGTTGTATGTAAAATGGGAAGGGGTGTGTCACTTGTAAAAATAATTGTAAAATATTTGCCAATAGATGTCAGTAGACAAGTTCTGGATGCTTTGGTTCTGTCGCAGCTTGATTATTGTTTGGTTATATGGTCTAGTGCTGCTGAAGAAGATTTAAACAAACTACAAGTCGCACAAAATAAGACAGCTGTGCACTGCAGTGCTCCTACAGAACCAGAGTACATTGGACAAAATGTCCTCTCCATTCCACGCAGCTCATTGTGGAATAGCCTCCCAACTGAGATACGGGATTGTCCCACTCTCAATAGTTTTAAAGGTCAACTCAAAGAATGTGCAATCACCGCTAAATGCACTTTAACACGGGGGTATCTCCTCTTGCACTTGATGTAGCTCTTTTATCTCCTCTTGCACTTTATATATCATAGCTGCTATATTGTACTGCCATGTGGTAAATGCTTGTGTTTGCTGCTCATGCTCTTCCTGCATATCATGCATATGTATATAAATGTCATGTTGTTATATGTTGTGACGGGACTACGGATGGAAATTAACTCAAAGCTAAAATCCGGCTCATTTACACTTGTAAGCAATATTTTGTTTTAAAGTGTTCATCAATGTGCACTGTCCCGGTTCAAATAAACGATTAAATGAAATGAAATTAAACTGAAATGCTGGAGACACTGACATGGTTACGTGTCAGACAGAGGTCTAATTATATTTGGTTACATTTTGTCAGAAATATTACAGTGACTCACTCACCAGATATATTATCACAAAGGTTTATAGCGCAGTATGCTCAACATAACTATCAAACACGACATACAATAGAAGGAAGGTTTGTATTACCCAAATCTAAATCAAATATGGGACAGAAAACAGTACAGAGCCGTGATCAGCTGGAACTCTTTACCGGTTCACATCATTCAGGAAAATTCTCAAGTACATTTCAAAAGGTTGCTAAAAAAGTATTTAAGTATTACAAAGTAAATTTGAACTGTGCCTGTGGCTATGTATGCATATATTATTATGTACACTTATTTGTATTTACTTTTGTTTGGCCTTAGGATGGCGATAATTGGATGACCATTTTAGTTTTCATTTCATACAGCACTGTAAAATGAAATTATGAGCTGTTTTGTTTTAATTTTGTTGTATGTGTGTTTATGTATGTTTTGAGTGTGTGAGGACCCCAGGAAGAATAGCCAATGTTCATGCTAGTGCTAATGGGGAATTTATTTATTTAAAAGTTATAAGAAATAACCAGTGTTGTAGGACCGTTTAGCGAGATCGTGTTTGTTAGGGTTAGTGAAGCCAGATAACTCAAACATATCCAGGGTCTGTTGGACTGGCTTCGTCATACAGGGCACTGTTTCCCATCAGCCCCCCCCCCCCTCCTGCACACATGCACTTAATCCTCTCCTTTGTTTCTGTATTTCAAACCTTTATTTATCCAGGTATATCCCATTGAGATCATTGATCTCTTTTTCAAGGGAGACCTGATTTTTTTTGTCTATGTCCTGCTTTTCCCTTGCTCATGCATCATGGTCAGAGCCTTGTTCTGGGTGCTCCATGTAGTTCAGCCTACCTGACATGAAAAGTACTTTCTGTTTAGTCTGTGGGTCCACAGTGACACAGAATCAACTCTGTTGATTCTGTGTCACTGTTGTAGAATTTGAAAAAGTTGCTGACTACTTAATGCACATTTTGTAAAGCTAATTTAAATGTTGGATGGGAGCAGCGTCTTTATCATCATCCTGCTCTTCCTCCAGCCACAGAAACATGTGTCAGGAAGCGTTATCAGAGTGCATTAATGGCCAGTGTCAGCCTGTGTAGGACAGCACAGTGGAGGCTAATGTGTGCTGATGGTCTGATTAACGACGTGAGGTTAATGTGTCTGGATGGAAACTAATGATGTTACAGGCCACTGTTTCCTCATGCTACATCACGGCACCACTGAGGGCACTGCGGCCGAAAATGAGCCTCTGAAGAAAGAAAAATCAAGTGAAGTCATCGAAGATCAAACACCGTGAGTCAGGAGTTCATTAGTGCAGAGAAAATATGTGGGTGTGTTCGCACAGCCGTCATGACAGGCGTCAGCGTTCCAAACAAAGTGCGGTGAATCTGCAACAAAGGTCAAACAGCCTTCTCACACTCAGTCATGAATGGATGGTGGGTGAAAGATAAACACTTAAAACAACATCTTCAGCCATCCAGTATAAATCATGTATTGTGTTTTTTTGGAAGCTGCCTGAAACTGAATCTGTGTTTAAGACAAGTTAAAGTAATTAGGAAAGTAATTATGAAATACTTAAGTACTCATGAATGTCTGAAGCTTCTATTTGTCATAAGAATACCAATGGAAAATATATTCATTGGACCCCATGTAACTCCTACTGTAGGTCGGCCTACACAAATACGTCATCCCTGCACCGCTCTATTGAGACATTATAGTAATTACAGAATATATATTTGACTCTAAATCAACCATAATTTACTCTTAAGAACAACAACACATTCATCAAATGACCATGTATTGTCATTAGGCAACACATCTCAGCAAAGATCATTTCAGTGTGTCAATGTATTGTCCACTTATCTAAAGCTGTCAAATGATTTATTATTTAATATTTTTGGTGCAGTTGAAGGTACTGAAAGTCACTACCGGTGAGTGATCTATCACCTTCTTCATACAAACAAATCCCCATGAAGACCTTACATTTACAATGACTACTCTTTGTTTTACAAAGATAATCAAAGCAGGTCCAAATAAGAATGTATTGGTTCTTGTAGGTAATGTGCCTGAGGTCATTTGCTTTTATAAAGCATACAACGTATTTTGTCAGTGATATATTATTTAGTATATATTTGTCTGACTAGTTATGGCTGCCTAAATCTTTATTAGTAGTCTATGGCCTTTTTGTTGTCCCCCTTTGCAATGTCTACATGTTTTTCATGTTATATCTTCATTTAATCATTACATAAGTCTTCATTTGAGCCTTATTTATTATTTTGCACATACATATATATTGTGATTTGTATTTTATTGTTATGTTTTATCATCTTTCAAAATAACATACCTAAAGAAGATAGTGATCTTATTGATATCATGGTCCAAGGTCAGCGCTCGGACCGACACTACGGTCCTCTGAAGCTTACTAAATATAGTATCTCTCACAATAAGTAGCATTTAATGCTAACAAATCTATCAGAAAGCTGCAGCTGATTCAGAACGCTGCTGCTCGAGTACTCACTGACACTAGAAAGGTGGATCACATCACTCCGGTTCTGAGATCATTACACTGGCTTCCTGTGTGTCAAAGAATTGATTGTAAAATACTACTGCTAGTTTCTAAATCACTAAATGGCTTAGGACCGAGGTATATAAACGACCTCCTCCATCACTATGAAGCATCCAGGAGTCTCAGGTCTTCTAGGTCGGGTCTGCTCTCTGTTCCGAGAATAACCACTAAACATGGAAAAGCAGCTTTTAGTTATTATTCCAACAATTTGGAACAAACTGCCCAAATCGTGCACGTCCGCTGAAACACTTCCTATTTTTAAATCCTGACTAAAAACGCACCTATTTGCCGCTGCTTTGAATTGAGCTGCCCATACTCACACTACAGTATGCCTTTTAGTCATGTATTCTGTACCTGCTGTGTTTATTTATTTATTTTATTTCATTACCTTTGCTTTGTATGCCTGTTTTTAAATGTCTTTTTAATCATGTATTTGTTCTTAAATGTATTTTGCTTTTAATCTGTAGATCACTTTGAATCGCCACGTGCTGAAAAGTGCTATATAAATAAAATGGCCTTACCTTGCCTAATGCGTCTTAATCTCTCGCACATACAGCTAGGAAAAAGCCTAAACTTCTCAGAGTTCCTTTTATAGTGTAATGTTATGTCTGCTAGCGAATGTCTCTATTTATGGTATCTTACATATTCAAGCAATGTTTAAACTAATAGAATCAAACTGTTGGGACCGTTTAGTAATCTGGGTTGGATACGTTCGTTTTTAGGGTTAGGGTTCGCTTTTGTAGGTTTGAAATGTGACTGTATAGCATTCTGATTGCAAACGTACATCCTGCTGTGTAGCTGAAATGACTTTAAGATTCTTCTCTTCTTATGCTCCTGTGACGCTGTTATACAGTAATACCTAGTACACTTCCTCTAACATCAGGCTGTGCGTACCGTGATGCATCATCTGTAATACATGTGAGAAAACGAGAGGACGGCTGCTGTTTTATTATATAGATATGCTTTTATTAGAAATAAGACACATTCATTTTGTGCTCTGAAAACTGTACATTAACAAAGAGGCGACCCCAGTAAATTAAGAAGGGCAGTGAGGGGGGGAGGGGGGGGGGCAGGTTGGGGCGCAGATCATTGGGTCAGAGGTCGGAGGTCAGGGTTTCGACAAATACAGATCTGAGGGAGTGACTGGCGGTAATATCAAAACACACACTGTTACATTGCGATACAGAACACTCGTATAGTCCAGTACCCTGACAGGACGAGAAGGGGATGGGAGGATCAGTATCAGAATAATCATGTTCATATTTATAATAATGATAACAACTATCCCCAAGCACAGTAAGAAAGATATTTATAGGCTAAAATCCATTCTGTAGAACTCTGTTGTAATAATTACAATGCTGTACATCAGGACTCCAAGTGAGCCTTGTGCTTTCTGTGGGCAACCTCTGATGACCTCTGCCTCATATACATCATCTCCTTTAATCATACCATATATATTTATAGATTTAGTCATTTACTCATCTTCCACTACTTGACACACAGACACACACACGAGTACCTTCGCATCTTTGAAACCCCGTCATATGTTGCATGGACTGTACCAAGCCTGCTTGTACACGGAGAGCGAGAGAGTCAAACAGCTTGTGTCTGTAGTGAGCGGCTCCTATTGGGCACACTGATGGCGTCCATCGATGAGAAGGCAACGTTCCATTTTGCTCAGGGAAACGTCTTCCATTTTTATTTATTTTTTTACCTCCTTTTCCTTTCGCTTGTCCCTGCAACGCAGAACTGGTCCCATCAGGAGGGGAAAGTGTTGGAGCCATACGGATTGGGGAGAGTTGTGTGTGTGTGGGGCGGGGGGACTGCATTGAGGGCCACATGGCTGAATATCTGGCAGTCTGCCTTGTTTGTTCCTTTTGAGATAGAAAGAATCAGTCCGGAGGCATCTGGAGCCTGACAGCGTTCATCATGAGAGAGAGAGCAGGACAGTGATGCAAGGACACTCTCAAACGGAAAAAAAGACAGCCATGATTATAAAATTCATTTGATACAGGGGTAAACGTTGCCTTTGCTATGTGGTTTATAACATATGGTGCTCATATAGTAACTGAATCTGCTACCTGGGTAATCTGTCTGCATGTCTGTGGTTTCTGAGACCATTTACAAGATGAGCTGACAAAAACAAACATCAAATGAGACAACACAGAAAGAGAGGTCATTTTCCTGTCCTCTCTTTAGTGGGTTGAATTTATTTTCTGATATCGCGATGCTTCTCTCTCCTCCCCGCTCTCCTCCCCGCACTCCTCCCCCTTACATCCTCGCAGTTGGCTCGAGCAGCCTTTGATTAGAAATACTGAGCAGGGCAGTGTGTGTGTGGTGTGTCGGCTTGTTTTGTCTGAGCGCATTGGGAAAACAGGAAGTGGTGGGTGTGAGGTCGCGGTGGTCACACCTCCGTCTGAAGGTCCATGATCTCCTGGCCCACCAGGGGGATGGTGGCGCTGGACTTCTCCCACTCCACAGCATGCAACTCCAGGGGGGAGGCGGCCACCGTCTCCAGGTCCTTCCTCACCCAGGAGGGGGGAGAGTGGGTCTTCCTGATGCCCTCCCACGCCCTTTTACTGGGGGTCTGCTGCTTGTCCTGATGGGAGGAGGACAAAGGATTTATTCCTCAGAGATCAAGAACATCTCAAATAAGCTGTAATGTGAGTTCTTTTGGTGGACCTTCACGCCCTTGTGGCAATTTATTAAATGTATTTTAGAAAAAGTTTGACAGTTAAAAAAGAACAAGCTTATCAGTTGCTCGGAGTTAAATGAGAAGATCAGCACCACTCTCATTGTGTGATGTCTGGAGCTGGAGCTATTGTGTTTAGCTTAGCTTTACATACATACTGGAAACAGGAAGAAACAGCTTTGCTGGCTCTGTTTGAAATTTAAAAAAGTGTCTGGTAACACTGGAAAATATCACTTTTTTCCACGAGTCACCACATCTGCCAGCATGGACTCATTACCTGTTGTTTCAGTCTTTATGCTAAGCTAGGCTAACCACCTCCTAGCTTAAGTTCCATCCATAAGAAACATACAGAGTTCTCATTTAACTCTCAGCAAGAAAGCAAATACACATTACAATTACTCTCATACATTTTAAACTATTCTTTTGTTACCAACAATGGATGTTGCTGGTTCAATCCGAAGTTAGTAACGTAACTTGCTCGATTGACTAGGACCAGGATGCAACAATGATTGTGGCTGGGGCAACACATGTTGTTCCTGCAGAGCTCAACATGCTGCTAACACTGTGTGATGCTGCAGGACTTTAGCATATATATCTGTGTTCTGAAAACTATTAGCGGCACCGTTGATCTGTGAAGTTGGACCTATGCCAGAGAAGAGTCCAAAGCTGTGAAACAAATGGAGATCAGGGGCTGTTGCAGCAGAAGGAAATGGAAATAATATGCTGCCATGGAATGGATGCAGCCACAAAGCCAACATGGATTCCTTTTGTGCCTGCTGTTTGTAACTAAACCAATTCGATCCTAACCTACTTTGTTTAACCCTAACCCTTCACTGATGTCTTGAATCTCAGCAGAACATTATTAACTGAACGGAAATGTAAGGAGGTCTAGTTGTGTTTATTCATTTGACTGAACTGAAGACTTGCATGGGCATGATGATCTTAACTTAGAAGAGATGTATCTTTAATTATGATTTGCTTGGCTGGCTCCATCTCCATCTGGCTGTGGTAATCATTGAGATTATTAGGTATTCAAATATTTGCAGCTATTCCCCGTACCAAAGGTAAATTAAGGTCATTTAAACTGACATAATCCTGTAGTGGAATCAGTCCTGTCTTTTTTGCTATTCCCACTGGATACTAGAAACACACGACATGCATCGATGCAGATTGTGTGCAATAAAAGAAAGGAGAAGGGACATTTCTGAATAAATACCTTTTGTCGAGAATATACCAAATCCAAAATAATATGTCTTGTGCTGGGTAGGAAAACTTTAGTCTGTACTTATCTAGAGCCCACGCTGGAAGCTCATCGATATCATTATAAGTCTGTCTTTTGTGACGCTTTGAAACAAGCTCTAACAAATTGTGCAATTTGGAAATACTCTGAAACATTTGTCACATTTGGAGTGACAATGACTGTTGTGGTTCGTACGCTCACCCACTATTAGTTCCCTTGATGCCCCCACAGCTCATTCTTCTGGCGCAGACATTGTAAGCAGATAAAAAATGAAATGGCTGCACTAATAATTAAACAGGAAACTCCACTCAGGTGTGGTGATTCCAGCTAATGATAAGAGGCAAAGGAGGACAACACTTGATATAGGAAGAGGGGGGGCAGAACAGAATAAAGTGAAACTCTTTACACTCATGTTGGTCTTGTCGCTGCTGGCAGAGGACACACTCCATCTTTTGGCAGCTTTGGCATCAACAGGTGGAGACTCTCTATCCTTGTCTGCACTGTGAATCTTCCTGTTCAGGTCCTGAAACATGTCCTGGTGGCGTTTCCGGGTGTGCATAATCTTCTACACAGGGATATTGCACGTTAAGGTAAACAGCATCAATTCTACTTTACCCCCTTCACATTTAATGTGTTGAGTCTACAGTCACACTCAAGCTTTGACAAAATCTGATAAATGTATGCAAGCATCTAGAGGTCTGAAAAGCCTTTTGGGATAAATCTAAAAAGCTCTGTAGGAATCAAAGAGACTAAAATTACCTCAAAGTCAAGCTCTGCATAGCGTGATTTTCGTCTCTGGGGGGAGATGAGACAGAGAGATTAAAGATGTGTCTTGATATTGTGTGCCTCGTGAAGAGACAAACGCTCGAGTGTTTCCTAACTGTTTCACAGTGCATCTCCACATCAGCCAGTGAAGAGAGGGTGTTTCTGAGACCCAGGGAGAGCAGTGAGTCATGAGGGAGGAAACAAGGTCTGCTGCTGGTCATTCTGACCCTGCTGGCACAAGTTTGCAACTAACAGATTGTGACCGAACGACCTTTAAGTCCTCCATCACGGAGTGGTGAAGGAAAAGCTGACCTTCAGGCTGACCTTCAGGCTGCAGCTGCCGCTGCTCACTCGGCGTTATGGAAGTGTGTTTTGCCCGGAAGTGAAAAGACACCAGCAGGCAGATGTCGGCCGGCCACTGCCGGCTCATCCTCACGCTGCTGTCTGAGTACAGGCGGAGTGAAAGCCACCTCTTTACAGAGCATAGCCCTGACACTGCAATACTTCCTTGCTTTGAATGAAGTACATGTGTTGCCTTATTTCTTTGCGGAGATGGGAACATCTAAGCATACAAGAAATGTAGCACAGTGCTGCCCTGTGGAGTTTTAAGTAATGATCCTATTATTTATTTATAATCATTCAAATCCAGTTTGTTATTGTGAGGCTCCCTAGCAAGTTAGTTAATGAATCATTTCCCTAGGATGGATGGTGTGCTAATGCTGTGTTGCTCAAACAGCCTATGGCAAATATAAATACAATATAAATAAATGGCAAACTTGTGACTGACGTTTACTGTATGAATGGCAGCAGTCCATGCTAAATAATAAACCTACATAAAACAGTAAGCTGGCATGATATGTGGCATCGTTCACATTGATATATGGATGGGAAAAGAAACAGCCGTTGATGCTTATCAACAGTTGAACTGTAATGACCCTGAGAGTGGAAATTAAGACACATGTTATGTAAATGATGTAAAAGTTATTTATCTTAAAATGAACCAGTATTTAAACGCTGTGGTTATCTTGAACATAAACCATTTAAAAAAGGCTTGATTCTTGAGAATGTATGGTTTAGCAGAACATTAATGAAAGTATGAAATGTGAGGCTGAAAATGCATTACTTTGATAAAGATATGCTGATCAGTGGAGTGCTCTTACCTCCAGTGAGCTCATGGACAGTGTGGACACGGTTTCGCTCTTGGACATCACAGCGCAGTGTCCAGACTCCCCCCCCTCACACAGGCTGTTGGCTCCCTGCGAGTCTCTGGGCATATTCTGCAGGTTGTGTGCAGGTGAGTCTCTGTCAGAACACGACACACTGATCTGGTCGGCAGGCAGGCTCTTCAGCCCGAAGCCAGGCACGGGCTCCCCGTTGACGGGGTTAGCCAGGTGGATGAGCCGGGTCTGAGGCAGCTGCTCCATGCCGAGGTTATACTTGGCCTCCTCTTTCCCCTTGGCCAGCTTCAGGGTGCCGGTGTTGTTTCCCGGCAGAAGCACGTACCCGGGGGCTTTGCCCGGACCCTCGGAGCTGCTGCCCTCCCCGGTCCCTCGCGGCATCTCTCCGTCCAGCTGCTTGAAGAGCTCTCCGTCACAGATGTAGATGGACTTGGCTCCCGGCAGCTCGGTGCTGATCCCCTTGGCGGGCCCCTTGTCCCTGCGCAGCGTCAGAGTGTGGCTGGTGTAGTCGGCCACATTCTGGAGGTGCACTTTGGCCATGCTGGCAGGCAGGGTGTTAAAGTTAGACCCCTTCTGATGGGTGAGGGTCCCAGAGGAGGCCTTCTCCTCCCCCTGGAGAGATGAGCGCTTCGTGGTGCCTGAAGGCAACAGAAACACAGAGTTGAACCAGGACCATTTCAATAGAAATGTATTTAATAAAATGCAGTGTGTAAAGATATCTTTTGACATGGCTTCTTGGGCCCGACAGCTGTTGCCTGCTTTTCCTCTTCAATAATCCAACCTTATGTTTGACAGTTACAGAAGCAACCCCCTACTAGACCTGGGTAAAAAAGCAGTAGTGATACACCCTGTAATAGACAGGTCACCTAAGCAATAATACAATAGTATTGATATCATCCGATAAATGGGAGAGTTTCACTTTAACTTCGGCCTGTAGTTTAGCCCTCTTTGTGTTGGTGCCACTAAATGGGGGCTGTACAGTCCACTATGTGTTGTTAGTTTGTACATTAGACTTAATCCAAGTCACACAGTGGTCTTCCCCCTCCCCTCAGCTAGGAGCTTTAGTTGTCCTGTTCATTACAAAACAAAGATAAACAAATCTACTTATAGCTATCAATATGAACAAAAAAGGTTCATAGTGATACATTTATGGCTAAAAAGCCCTACTGTTCTACCAAGACTCAAAAATGGTTTAATCCTTACTTTCTAGCTCTATACGTATATACCACTAATTATAATTACAACAATTATCACTTTTAACACAAGAACTGGTTAGGCTATGGGACACACTGCTATCTGCATTTAAATGATCAGATTAGTCATTGTAGTTCAGTCGGGACAAAGAGTGTTTTGAGGCAGCATGCAAACTGTCACCATTACCATGGTGACTGTTGGTGAGAGACCTTCTGCAAGTCAGATTCACAACCGTGACGAACATGATCAAACCTAACCATAACCCTTACCCAGAAAAAAGGATATCAAATATCTACTGTAAATGGCTGACCCTGTGACCTCATCTCACTGTAACAGCTGCTGGCTCATGGCAGCATGTCCCTTAGCACGTCTGTGCTGGTAAACAACATGGAGGCTTTATCCTCAACAGCAATAAATATCCGCTCTCTGTGACCCTCCCTTCCTACTTGACATATAAGAAGAAACAATAATGTCTCTCTGTTCTTTTCTCTCTCCTCTCCATCAGGCCTGTCTGTGTCTCAATAGCTTTTCTGCTCCAGATGCTTTCCTTGATATCCTGTCTCAAGAGATAATCAGATTTTCACTCCCAGCGGATATCAGAGCCGAGCCGCTATCTGATGCGGCTCTGTCGGGAGGGACTTAATTATACCGCGGCACTGAGACAGCCCTATTTATCTGCATATAACTGCTCAGCACGCGCTCATCCCACTCCCATCAGCCCGGCTAAACTGCCTTTTGCAGCATTAATGTCCGTATTTCTTTTTACAACAGCTCCTTGCGTAGGGAGGCTGTGATGTTGATTGTAAGACACAAGTTCAGAACGGAGGGGGAACACACTGCACATCTGTTCCGACAACGCATAGGAATGTGAATCAGTCAGAAGACAGAGAGGAGGCACAAAGAGACATCTGTAGCTTCTGAACAGCCCCCAAAGACACACACACACACACACACACACACACACACACACACACACACACACTGGAGCTTACCTGATCTGCAAGCTATATCCACATCTTTCTCAAAGTCAGTCTGTGGACACACAACAAGAAATAGTGAATTAAGTGCACACTCTGCCAATATTGAATAATACATCCTGAGAGGTGCAAACAACAAACACATTCGTGGTCCGTACCATGAGCTGAGCATGGCCGTTCTGGAAGGATCCTCCTGAGTCTCCGTTAGCCTCCTCCTGGCGGTCCACCACCCGGCACTTCACTGCCTCCTGAACCTGGAATGAAGCACACACTCTATTCTTAGTTTTGGAAGGATATTTACATACATCACATCCCAGCAAATACTTTGCAAGCAGCCTTTTAGAGAAGAGGCTCAACGTCTCTAGCCGAATGAGACGTTGCCGAATGTTTTCAAGTGATGTCATAATACATGGCCTTCTTCACGCCGTGTTGACTTTACTTTTGAATAGCAGATGTCTGCGACCGGCTATAGTTTGTCGGCTTAGTGAGCGTGTAGCTCTGCTCCGATCGTGAGGTTTACACTGCTGCCCCCCCCCCCCCGCCCGTCTTGTAACACGGAGCCCGTGTCTTAAACCATGCTAAACGTATGTGCGTGCATAAAGCTGAGTTATGATCAGTCACTATAACACTGAACGCTGTGATGATTACAACGTTTACAGTGAGATTTACAGCATACTGTTGGCCATGATTGCGCAGCCCTACAAATGAACTGAGATTTCCACACACATATTTGAAGCTATTCTAGTACGCCAGAGCAAACCAGAGCAGGGTTTTAAGGATAGGATAATATCACTACTCAAGTAGTTCGTAAGTAAGTGTGCAGAGCAATGTTGATTTAAAATGGCAGTTTGAAAGTTGGATATTTGTGAAAAAAATGTATGTATATATTAATAATTTAAGATGTAAATGTATTCCAGTTTGTAATATTTTCTATTGTTATGTTCTCACGTTCTCATGTGGTGGCCCCCACATCAAATCCCAATTCAACCTCTGGCTATAGTGACAATGAAATCAACGCAACAGTGTTTAACATTAAAAGCCTTCACGCAGCTCAGGGACACAACATTATAGGAAGGGTTCTGCAGAAAGTCATCAGCATTTACCAGTTAAGATCTGGGTTAAAAGATTGTCTACATTTGTGGCATTAAAGTCCAGTTTCACCCAGGGACTTTAGGCTTTGCAGACAATGAACGTGTCCCCAAACCTTTATAACACACTGCAGTGAAGGGAAACCCCCAAGAAGCATAATAGGACCTCTTTAAGTAGAACAGTACTTATTCTACCTCTGCCTCAAACAAAGCCAGGAAAGAAATAAGTGTAGGAACAGTTGGTGGTGCGATACCTCTCTGCGCAGGATGCAGTGCACCATCACTATGACGAAGCCTTCCAGCGAATCAAAGACAGCGAAGAGGATCTGGAAGAGTGCGGAGCGCCGGTCGGTGATGGCCAGGACGGCTGACATCCAGGTGAGGGCCAGGAGGGGCAGGACCACACAGGAGCTCCACAGGGACGCCCTGCAGGGGGGGGAGCGGTCAGACACAGCACCAGCAAACTGACAACACAGAGGGAAGCCTAATGCTGGAACACATCATGCTGGAACACATTCTGTATTTGTCATTAGCTCACATTATTGGATGGTAACATCTAAGGCAGGCTATTATTCAAATATATTCTAACAGATACAATTTGTTTTCCCTTCGTAATGTAACGTAATGTTTAACATGAAATGAATTCCCTACTTGCCCTTGATTACTGCCCACGCTCTTAGCATGGAAATCAACACTAACCATGCAAAATAACATCACAACAAGTCATTATGTTACTATACAAACAGAAACATACATCCATTATCTGCAGATATATATGTTCATAATTCACATATATGACATGCATGTATGTTTAGGATGGTTCAGTCAAACCATAGAGGATCTAGTGGCACAGGAGAGAGAAGGATGATGAGAGCAGTGGGAAACAAGTGAAATGAGGCTGAAACAGAATGGAGACAAAGTAACAGAGGCAGAAGAGAGAGAGGCTGAAGAAGAGGCAGACAAACGCTTAGCTCCCACTCGAATGTGCTCCTTTTATACTATTAAATAGGGGCTCACATTTACTTTGAGTTAGATCATATTCAAGAAGTGGAAAAAATACTTTAGTCAAATTCTATGGTCCACGCAACAATGGAATCAAACTAATGAAAAGTGAGTTATAATGTCTCACGGGACACTCATTATTTCCTCAGCACTAATCAGTAAACAAACGTCTTGTCTTACTAACCAATCTGCTTTTTTACTTTTCTTGCTTACTATTTCCAATTACAATGCGTCAATTCAACTTCCTGCCGGTGTTTCAAAATAAAAGCCCGTTTACTTTGTGTGCAGTGCCTGTTTTTTATTATCAGCAGCTTAGCACCGGACGGAAATTAAGAAATAAGTGATTAGAGATTGAAAAGTGATATTTGTGTTGCAGCTGGTCTACCTGTAGTTTACTGCCGGTGTTGCACTCTAAATAGGAAACATCAACTAAAAGGACATCCTGCTAGCTCCATGTCACAGTAAGAGAAAAACAGCAATCTGAATTCAACTGTTTGGATCATCTTTGAATAATAATAATTGTAATCTGTTAAAAAGCGTTTGTAATTGGAGCTGACAAAATGTACTAATACATTAAAAAGATAATTTTATCATTTGCATTTATTAAGCTATTCTGTAAAGTCAAATGTGAAACAGACAAATGAAGGTATTAATATAACAAACGTAATTATGTTATGATATCAAAGAAAGTAGTCCAACAAATGGAAACCATAAATGAAGCAGTGTAAACACTTAATTAAAATAACCTCTGGTATTAAATAGGGCTACACCAATACTGGAAATGGGATGGGTGATTCTTTTCCTGAACCTCATTGTGAGTGGATGTTTCTCATGATGTGCATCCTGCTTGGCCCACAGTCACACTCTGCAGGACACACAGCACCCTGCCAGGGGGGAAGGCTGGAAGCTGACTAACGCAAACAGTGCAAATGGCTGTATTCTACCTGAAGGATCGTTCAACATGTTTTCAGTCTTATTTTCCATATTCATTTATAAACTAAATGATTGAACTTAGACCTCAAACTTCACTATTTAAGGGGTGCTGTTCTCCAATACAATCCACTGAGGACCGCCAACATCGTTTAGAATTCAAGACTAAAATGAAATAATGTAATGTATAATCAAAAGGTTGATACAAGCCTCTTGGCAGTTATTGGCTGAACTGTCTTCACCCCGCATTACAAACGAGTGGAACATGGCGACACAATAATAGACAAGAGGAGCTTCACGTAGCAGGTCATTCGTGTGTGTTGCCCAGGCCATAAAGAAGGACAATCTGTATAATACTCAATACATCCTGTATTAACAATAGAGGCTGACTGTTGACTAAGATGTGACCAGAATCAGCAATATCATTGAATATTAAAACATGTTCTATGTCCTCCTCAGATCTACTCATAATCCCATTTACAGAATGATCTGCTGTCATTTCGACAGGGTTGACTCCTTCTGGTATTCAAATCCACTAGCCGGAAATATGAATGGGTGTGAAGTGTGTTAGCAATGTCGCATTACAGACTATTAAGTGAAACGATGTGTGTTAATTGTTCACTCAGCTCTTTTCTTAGTGGATTGTATGAGAGCAGCACTACCTGCGCGGAAACAACTCTAATTATAAAAATAAAGAGTCGGGTCGATAATAATGGAAATCAAGGCACTTTTAGATCACGGCAAAACCCACGCACACACATACACATACTATGAACATAAAAGTGTAATGCCGTCCTCTGCAGACATTGCCATAGCCTCCCCAACATGTGGTCTGATCAAATTGTGACCCTTATGATCTCACACACACACACACACACACGCACACACACACACACACGCACACGCACACACACACACACACACACACAATCTTCAATCACGTATGCAGATTTCCATATAGTAAACACAGTTGGTTTGGAGCTTTTCATATTGAGTGAGTCTGCCAGGGCATCAGAGAGAAGACATAATGACAGAGGGATAAAGGAGAGAGGACCAATCAAGTGAGGGAGCCGAGGGAGGCGTACAGTAGAGGAGAGAACAGAAGTAAGAAGAGTTAAGGAAAAATAATTAGCGGGACTAACATGGCGTTACTGGTAGCTGTGGTGGAAACGTCAGCCGAAGAGATAACCCCGCACTTGGCACATTTGAGCGTCATATTGTACAGTGGCACTGTCATCTGACTGCAAAGTCAAATTAACACGCTGTAACATACACAAACAGATACAAATGCACCTACACACAGACTCACACTAATGCACGTGCGCACACCAGCACGCACAGGCAGTCACACACACAGTGAGTCACAGTGTATCGCACAATCTCTCTCTCAGGGCTACGTCCAACCGTCTCTGTGTGTGTGTGTGTGTGTGTGTGTGTGTGTGTGTGTGTGGGGGGGGGTTACCCAGGTTAGTCTGGGGAAGGGGAAGTGGGGCCATTGGTGCATATTTCATGTTCCACATGACGTGGAGCTACTCTGATTGTCTTTGAGGAGCTGATGTAACTGAGACTGCTCTCTGTTGTCAGTGTCTCACCCGCTCAACAGTCTATCTGCTAAGAAAGGCTTCATCCCAACGTGTCATGTTATATCTTGGTTTATGCCTCTGCTGCTCTGATTGTGATGATGTGGTGCATGTGTCTCATCTATGTTTGCTCTAACTGCTTATTACGAGCATTGCCAAGTACTAATGCAAAGGTTTTCACACACATACATATTTCAAAGCTCAACATACAAACGTGCAAGCTGTTGTCAGAGTTACAGTCAGAGTTCACAAAGGAGTCACAGTCACTAATAAACAGCGTTCCCTCAAGCAGACATTCTCATAGAGCTGCAAGTGGAAGAAGTTAGGACTTTTAGGGCAGGGTCCCACAAGTAAAACTCCTGTTCATTTGAAATGTTCTACATAAACAATGTATTGTGCCGTAGCATTGCAGCACTGAATCATTAGCATACAGTACAATACTGTATACGGATATGTTTTTATAAAAACGGTGGTTTGTAACAACCTGTGTCCTGCTGTGTATCCCTGGCTACTGGATGTGCTGGCCATGAAAAGATTGTACTCACTAAGATAATTGTTGAGATCTCAGAATGTTTCAATGGATTCAGAAACATGAGTGTTCAGACGGTCGGACAGAATCTACCTGAAAGTGAGTCCGCTTTTCTCCTAAGATTAGCTTTACTAACCGTTGTTGTTGTTGACATCCTGATTGTCTGAACGTTCCTGTTTCTTGCCCGATCAGATCTCATTATGGAAATGTCGCCACCATGTCTTAGCATTTTTTTGCTGAGTAAAAATGTATCATAACTGAAAAGAATCAATGGCCAAATCAAGGAAAACAAGGCCAAAGTAATACAAGTCATTGTTTTCCTTTGAGCAAAGAAATCTGCTACAAATCTTAAGAGGATTTCTGTGACTGCGAGAACTGCTAACATCGAGTAGATGCGTTTGATCGAATACAACCCTGAACTTCACCTTGAAATAACTCTGGATAAATGTTGGATGAATTCAGAAACGATGCTGCAGTGACTGTTTGCAATTGCAAAAGAAAGTATCTCTTTTGTTTTCTCCAGCTTCCTGTCAATAACAACAATGTGTCACTGAATTATCCAAGAAACATCTGTTCCAACAAAGCAACATAAAAACACAACACCAAAGGAAACCTACACTTTCTCACTTCCATCTTCACGTCCTCTGCTTCCGAGATGTCAGTCTCACGGTAAGACACTGAGACCAAAACATATTGATTTTCTAGATCACTGAAGCACTTCCTGTTCCCAAATTCAGTTATATCTACAATTCGAGGAATATCTCAGGTTGATGTAACAATCCCTGCCGCTATTCAGTCATTCAGAAAAAGAGGAATACAAAAAGCTGTTGTTTGGTCGGAGGTTGCTTTAATTAGTTGACCGAAGACTATGGTTTTAACTTACTATATGAATATACAACACTTTACAACTATTAGGAAAGCAACAGATCAATTCCAGGTATGGTCACCAATAAACGACTGAACTATATTTACTTTCTAATACCTAAAGACCGAACTCTCCCCAAACCATCGAGATTCAAATCATATCTCTGAGTTTGTCTTCAGTGTTGTTGCTAGAAAAGACTGACTCCAATATATTGACAAGTAATAACAAACTCATCCGTTACCGTATGTACTCCTGCTAAACAACAATTAAAGTCGAAGAGCTGTGTGAATCGATATCTGTAGCCCCTGGACGCCTGGATTAAAAATCACATAATGGAACAAATTCAATTTCAAATAAAAGGGCAATACAGCTGCTAGATGTACGCTTTAGGCAGTGGTATTAAAAAGCAATCAAGACTTTTAGAAACACAACACCATTTTCCTGGACTTGAGGAAGGAGAGGTAAAAGGTGGGTGTTTGGGTGGTGGGTTAGATGCATTAAACCAGGGGGGTCAAACTCAATTTCATGGCGGGCCACATCAGCATTATGGCTGCACTCAAAGGACCGGTTGTAACTTTAAGACTATATAAAAATACATATATAAAATAATGTATTATATTACATGATTGCCTCTGCATTGGATTATTATTGGATAGGGTAATAACTTCATAATTAACTACGTCTGAAAGCAGAAGTCTGGGGCAAATAATTGCAAGTCTCTTCAGAGAGAATGTCACAAAATGATTTAAAAAGAAAAGCCAAATTCTGGAAAACAAGTCCCAATCAAAAAACAGAAGTGACATTAAAAAAAAGAGTCAAATTCTGAGAAATAAACACATTCTAAGAAAAAAGACATATTTAGAAGAAAAAAAGTCAAATTCTGAGAAAAAAGTCAAATTCGAGATGCATTGTGGGACATGTAGTTTATGGGCAACGTGCTTTTGTAAATCATCATGTAACCGTATATTAAACCTATCATATTCTTTGCAAGCTCCGGGCCTTGAGTTTGACACCCCTGCATTAAACAGAATAATGATCTGGTAGAAGGTAGTCCTTCAAGCACGACTTGTTAAAGTTACAGACCGTGTTTTCATTCCAAACCTAATGTTTGATTACACTTCTATTACCAGCTGTAAATACAGAGGCTTGCTGATTGAAAGCATTTAAGCATTTGTTAGGAGAAAGCACACTCCAGTGGTAATTGGAATTAGGCCTCTCCTGTCTGTTTTCATTTTCTCAGAGAATTCACTTCTAATTGTGTGGAAGTAAGCAGCGAGGCCCGTCTCTGAGGAGTGGGCCGGCCTGCTGCAGACGCTGAGCGCTTCATTAATGCTGCACAAATTCATTAGCTTCATTAAACATGTTTTGCATTTGAACCTTTAGAACCGCCCGCAGGAGGGGCGAGCGGTGAAGGGTGGGGGGGTCAGCAAAAAGAAAAGATAGCATTGGAACCTCTTCACTTCCTTCCTATGTCCTCCACATAAAGAGATAGAAACAACAACCACCAAACTCTGCGCAAACAATAAAAGGTTATTTCAAGACAGTCCGATAACGTTCAGCAACCAGCATGAGAAGTCTGAGGGAGATAGATGACCTACTGTGTGCAGTATGTGGAGGAAATGATGACATGTAAAGGTCACTGTGTGTGGAATCTCATTCAATAAGATGATTTGAAGTGAACTGATGAAAGTACAAATGAATTGATGAATTAGTTCTGATTAGTTTTGATCAATATGTGCTTTGCTAAATAAACGCAGTCACTATGTATGGGCTTTCATTCATAAAGTGGTATGATCCCAGACAGGACAGAAACGTTTGCAGAAAGAAAACGTAAAAAATAATAATAGTAAGAAGTGCATAAAACCAGAAAAAATAATAGAATATAAACTATACAATCGTAATGCCGTTTATGTTTTGAACGTGCACGGGCGTGGGTATTTATGAACTCCACAGCAAACGGTCTGTCAGAAGCTTTGTGTGGTTCCAGAGGGAGCTGTATGCACTCTGATATCTCAAGTAAAGACTAGCAGTTTGAACATGAGATCGATCTGCGGTAGAGGAGCTACGTTAGTCACTTAAATACTCTCTGACCGACATGTCTTTGGTCGAGGTGCCAAATGGGCAATGAAGGCGCACGGTTAGATAAGGAGGGAACTGGGTGGAACATGGAAGATGATATCTCTGACTCTAATCCATCCATATTGATATTATTTTTTGTCCAACAATGTTTATAAGAGTTTGATGTGGTATACACCTAGAAAGGAAATAGTTTCATAACATAAACACTGGCCTGTTACCTGTATAGATCACAGTGGAACCCTACCCCTATCAGCGCTGTACCCATATGTTAGTGGCCCCATGCTGTTTCTGGCTGATCACCACTTCCTTCTCTTTCCTATCGGTTGAATCACATAAGCTTTATGAATTGCTTTAATAGAGACTCATCTTGCTGTTGCTGAGCTAGGAAGTAAAAGACCCATCAAATCTCTGTATGGTAACACTGGGCTCAGGTTAAGGGACTGCCATCAATACATACTTAGCACTGTCAACAATAGCATCAGGGCCGGCACCATGTGACAGACACACTGTCAGAGTAGGGGAGTTTTAATATCCCAACGTTGGAAAGCATACATTCAGGGAGCCCATGGTACAGGTAGGAGTTGGACAAGGACTAAGCAGAAGGTTGAGGGGTCACACCAGTGCAACACTTTGAATAACAATGTCTGACAAAGTCATCTCAACTCAAAGACCACATAGTAGCTTTCTGACTATATGTATATTATTAGAAGCAGAATGCCAGCTTCCTTTGGCTACTTGTTGATGGATTGATCTACTCTCAGGAAGTGATAGGACCAGTTTCAGTTGACTGCCTACTAAACTGTTCTCCCTTCATGTAACATGCAATAGTCAACACTCAAAACACATTTAGATATCTACCAGGACATCTTAAAGTCAGGAGCCCCTCCTGCGTGGAAGTGTGTGCATGGCAACAGCATGACATCCCATCATAGCTGTAGGAAAGAAGCATCAACCGTACAGAGTTGGATTTGCTTGAAGTAAGAGGACCAGGTTATCTCAGATGTACTGATCCAAATGGCCAGAATGTACTCCATTGTGTACTCCCTCAAAGTGCAATATAATCACCAGGTATATTCTACTTTTGTGATTCTATCCCTTGAATTAGGTGACTCATTTAAGAGTACACAACAAAGCTATCCGAGCATGGGTTGTGACATATTACGAGGAAAACCCAACCAAAGTGGAGCATATCTGAAGGGACGTTCAGAGTAAAGGAACACTCAAATGCAGGAACAATCTAGTCCTTACTAAACCACAATCTACCGTTCTAGAAGTCACTCCATCAGACACGCTATGCAATCATAACAACACACACACACACACACACACACACACACACACACACACACACACACACACACACACACACACACACACACACACACACACACACACACACACACACACACACACACACACACACACACACACACACACACACACACCACACACACACACACACACACCACACACCACACACACACACACACACCACAATTTCAGTAAATACAAATCATTAATATTATTGCACTGCAACTACTATGTGGTTTTGTTGAAACAGTTGATCTAAAAGCACTACAGAAGCTATCAGAACCTGAGGCAGTAGTGTGTTATGTTCTATTCAGCTAGCAGGAAGTAGCATACATGGCGAGGTCAATAGTGGAATAATCAGGGAAATAGGCAGGAAGTGATAGTAAGCCAATCAGAGGTGCTAGCTAGAGGATTCAGCAGATTTGTAGATGGGCAGGGCTGGTAGCTATACATTAGGAAGAGGGCGGGATGGGCAGGTTTTTTTACCCAATCACTGATGACATGGAAGGGGGCTTCTGAGACTGAGGTGTTCCTGATTGGAGAGCCCTGAGTGAGAGAGAGGGGATTCTGTGCAAACTCAAACATGACATCAGACAGCAAAAACAAGAACAGTTGAACAGAGAGATCATTGAAGAAAGCAAACCATTTCAGAGAGAAAGAAAATAACATTTGAATGCACCAACAATGCCAATGGAGACAAAACAGCCTGCTCGGTAAAGTGGAGCAGGGCTCTGAGGTTTGACCAATGGCTGTTTGAAGGTCTGATACTAACAATGATATTTAAGACTCAAGCTTTTAGTGAACATGTTCTTGCGTACAAAATGTATGTGTAAGTTGACTATTTATGTTTATAACACACTACTCTGACAATGTATGAAGAAACACGTTCTTTTATCAAACTTATAAAGGATCACTCCAACATTTTGGAAAATATCTTTGTTTGCTGCCAAACCCACAGTCAGACGAGGCAACTGGTACTGTTTCAAGCAATCTATAAGCATATACACGCAGATAGGACTTGGTATTGGAGGTGTTCTGGTTTCAGTTTGAAGTCTGAATAGTACTGACCAATACTTTTTGGGCTGGCTTTTAAATGGCCGTAAATTGTCCCTGTGAGGAGCAAAAGAGGTGGAAGGCAGCGACTGAAATGGTATGTCAGAAGACATTGGATATGCTCTGACAACAATTAGGCTTTTTATTAGCTTATAATTAGCTTGTAATTGACGTGAACCGATGCGGTTGTACATGTCGTCTCTCAACTACTCCTGTCTCGAATCTTGACGATAAACATTGTGAACAGAACATTTTAGCCTGGATTTCTGCTGGCTACACCGGAACTTACTAAATAATATGAATTGTTGTCATACCTTTAGCTAATGGGTAGAGATTGTGTTTTCTAGTGGCTTGAAAACAGCCTAACTCACAAGTTAAAAGCAACAACTTTCCAACAGCTCCAAAGATGTCATGGTGACACATCATCGCTAGCAAATGAGATCAATCAGCAGTTATTGCTCCTTCTAGAGTGAGGACAGTTCCTGACCTGGGAGTTTTGACCATTTACCATCATTCATCCACTGCCCAGCAGAACCCTCTCCTTTCACCACTTCAATGCTAGCTGTTCACCCACAACGCTCTTCTCAGTGACAGAAGAACATTGTGTTGTGATGAAAAATGTATTCATAAATCAGATATTTAGAAGATGCACATCATCACTGGTATCACGTACAAGAACACACATGCTCAAACTGTATGTCCCCAGAGTGCTTTGTGCAAAAGGAGCTTTAAATATAATGACAATTAAGTTGTTATGATCCAGTTGCTACTAATAGTAAAACGTTGAAGTTGTTGGAAGGTGCATTTTGAATGACTTTTGACAGAGCTAGTTTAGCGGTTTCTCTTGCGTTAAGTCTTCATGCTAATTTAACCCAAACACATTCTCCACCTATCTTTGTACTAAACAAACAAACAATGATATAAAGGATCATTTTGATGTCATAATCATGTTAGTACAAAACGGTTAGTGTTCTGTTTTAACATCATAAAGTAGGAAACTGTTTGTTCTCTTATCTGTATGAATTCACTGTCAGCAGTTACTTGGTTGAGTGCAATGTTATTATAACCAACACAACCAAGGCACCAGAAATACAAAAGTTAAGATGCACGGTCTTCTTTTTCCTAAAATGTTGAAGTGATAGTATCATGGTGTGTTAAAGCCCTGCTTCCCTCTACTTGAAATAACCAAAGAGGAGAAGAAAAGACACAATGGATTTACAGAACTTGACATCAATAGCAACACCTGCAAACAGAGAGCAATGCAAACATCTCAAAAAAAGCAATGAGATGAGTCATCATCTTGCTCAGTCTGAGCAGGACCAATAACCAGACAGCTTCCCACATCCTTGTTCTTTCCCAATGTTCTAAACCCCAGATGATCATAGTCGTCCTTTTTTGAATCATTCAATTCCAATTGTCTTTAATCAAATTTGCCAACGTTTTTAATCATGGCCCGGGATCATTTTAGGCAAAGAGCCAGTAACAGTGCCCCCCCCCCCCCCCCACACACTGTCTGAGCTATCAGGCTGGTTATAGGTCACTGTGTAAAATGGATGTGTGGTATAAGGCATACCCCGCCCTCTCCTTTAGTTTCATATCAGTAATGCCGTCTTTGGACACCAGTTTGTTAAATACGAGAATTCCAATAACCATGTTAACCTGCCGAAGAGAAGAGGCACAGGATTAATGCAGAGCAAACAGGTTCATTACTGCACATCTAACTGATGATGGTGATGGATGAAGGACACGACAAAACAATGGCAACACACACACACACACACACACACACACACACACACACACACACACACACACACACACACACACACACACACACACACACACACACACACACACACACACACACACCACACACACACACACACACACACACACACACACACACACACACACACACACACACACACACACACACACACACACACACACACACACACACACACACACTAGCTGTACTTCCTGTAGGCTCTGGTCTGTAATCACTAGACTGCATCATCTCACGTTACTTAAACAAACACCAACCAGTGAAGCATGAACACAATGTTTGAATGGATGATTTCTAACATATGAATACATTTTTGAACAAAGACAGACCATGCATAAATTACAAGCATTGAGAAATCAAAGACGGGGCAGGGGTTGTCTTTAATTGTGTTGATTCCAAAGATGTTAATGCTTTTAGGATTCATAGTCTGTGATGCTGTTTAATTAGGTAGGTGTAAAGAGGGAACCCAAAACAAGCTGTTCTCTCCTACTGTAGGTGTGAAGTGAATCACCCAAACTGAAGCCAATGGATTTGGACAGTGCCGTGTGTGTAGGACTGAGATTTAGCCCAGACATAGGTCACAGCAGGAGCTGAGTTGATCATTATCAATACATGTGTCATTATATGTGTTTTGAATGGTGTTCTAATTCAAGCAGCAGCTGTCAGAGTGGATCAAAGGAACCCTGTGCCTGTATGGTCATCATGCGCCTGCTGCAGTGTCCATCCTTTGCTCTATGCAGGTTCAACCATGGACACATTTCAAACAGTAATATGTTGTGTGTATTAAAGCTTGAATGGGGATTTTGAACAGTATGTTTGAGCTGTCCAGATTTGTCGGATAGGGTTTTAAGAGTTTAACAGTTGCCAGTGAAGCTGGCTTTTTAATATGACTTATTGTTTGATCATTATTATCCAATTTTAAAGGTGGACATTTTTTTATAAACTGTAAAGCATACTATACTTTTCGGGCAATATAGCAAAGAACCTAAGTTAATAAGAAAGGAACAAGGTAGGGGAGGAAAGCAAGAGGAAAGGAAGGAAAGGAGGAGGTAAATGAGGAAATGGGATATACTTAGAAATATAGAAACTAAGTCAAATGAAGCAAAAGAAGACCAAGGAAAGGAAATAAGGAAGTCAACAAGTAAATAAAGGTAAAGGAGGTAAAGGGAAATAAGAAAAGACAAAAGCAGGAAAGGGAAATCTGAAGAACATGGTATAATATAAGACGTATATTACGCAAATGTGAAAGGGAGGGAAATAAGGAATTCAATCAAAAAGAGAGGAGGTAGAGAAGTAGAGAAGATCAAGTAAAAGGGAGGAGTCATGGACTATTAACTTATGATCTAATCTGTTTAATTTGACACTGAAGTATTATTCTGAGAAACACTTTTAAAATGTATGACTACATTGCAGTAACAGTTCAATAACAAGTATTTACAGAATAATGGGTTAAATAAAGCATATTTAAAGATCATCTTTGCTGCGTTTATTTTGGTCAACTTTTAATATTGTTTTTTATCTAATGTTAGGTTTGTATTATGAAGTGTTTTACTGTTTCATAACAGCAATGTGAGATTGTTAACATTTTTGCCGTTAAATATCTGCAGTGAGAGGCCGAGTTGGCATGGATTTTGTTGAAAGTGAAAACTGTTACATGATGCTAATGGTCTAAATCTAAATGAAAGCAGATATTTTACAAGCTAACCACAAAGAGGACTATAGAGGAAAGAGGAAATACCAAGACGACAGCTGCAGCAGGTCCAACAAACGCATAGAGAAGACCTCCTTCCAGAGACAGCCAGCAGCTACAGGGGGGCAGGAAGCACAGAGGGAGGGAGACGTGATCAGAAGACACAGGGAGGATGGAGGGGGAGGCGTGGAAGGGGGAGGAAACAGAAGTGTCGCAGAGAGGAGGCACAGAAGGAGGTGAGAGGTCCAGGTCATGGTAAGAATAAGGATGGTAAAAGATATATGGGACAGAGAAAGAGAGAGGTTAATTATGCTGCACACATAAACCCCACCATGTGTAATGTCCCTGCATTCATAGTTAAAGAGGTATATGCTGCAGCTGGAGCAAAGCATGCTTACTAGCTCGGTGTTCCATATCCCTTTGCCTTGGTGAACCCCACTGAGATCGCCACGACTAGTGCAGGGAGACCTGCAGGGAAACACAACACACATTAACAGAGCGGAGATGAGAGAGCAGAGGAACCAATGAGAACAGCAGACAGAAGGCCCACCCCAGCCGAGACACAGGAAGCGCTTGCGTATGATGCGGTTCCTGAGGCGGCCCGTCACCGCCATGTAGGACTGCCACGCCTCGGTCAGAACCCAGCAGAACGACGACAGGAAGAAGAAGTGAAGGAACGCAGCGATCAGGGTGCACAAGACCTGAAGCAACAGAGAAAGTCAAAGTCAACTGCATTGTCAATTTCCCTGTGTGTGTGATACAAGCAGGGAGAGCAGAATGACGTCTCTCACTGTCCCAAAGAATAAGACTATATCAAAAATGATAAGTAATATATACATACATACACATCTGAACACCATCAACACATACTCAAACATATGTATATATAGAAATGTTATTGATTGGGATAAACCCCTTGAGATGCACCATCTCGTTTTCAAGGGGGTCCCGACAATAGCAACAACTTACATACATAAACAAAAAGACAAAATGTAAAACATGACACACAAGACAAACCACATACAGTCTGTTCAGTGAAATTCAAGCAATGCACACAATCATTACAATTTGAGACAGTCAAGCAAATCAGTTTCATCAATATCAGTTATAACAAGTACAGACCAGTTGAAAGTGAGATGATGATAATGCATGTTTAAATAAACCCAATGATGACAGAGATCTAATGGCAGCAGGTCAAGTATTCCAGTCAGTTGGGGCTTTGAACATGAACGCTCTTCTGCCAATACATTTTTTTGCAGAGGGGACAGAGAAATGCATCTGAACAGAATGTCTAACTTGATGATTTGACGAGTAGGGTACGAAATACTGCTTTAAATAAGGGGGATAGTTAAGATACATGCATTTAAAATATCAGCTGAAGCCAATGCATGTGTCTTCTTACATTTAAAGAAGGCCATTTAAGTTGGTTATACATTGTGCAGTGATGTGTACGAAAAGGACAACCAAGAACAAATCTGCATAGTCTGTTGTAGGCTATGTTGAGTGGAGCAAGATCTGATTTATGTGCATTTTGGTAGACATCACAATAGTCCATAATCGGAAGAATAAGTTGAGACGCAATTCTCTTTCGGACACTGAGCGTAAAACAATTGCGAGAGCGGTGTAAAACACAGATTCCGTAATTGACTTTTTGTATTACATGCTTTATATGTAGTTTAAATGAAAGTTCAGAGTCTAGCCATACACCAAGATATTTAAAGTTATCAACTTTATGCAGAGAAGTGCCATCCTTACATGTTATTACTACATTAGGTTTGGATTTGAGCTTCTGCCTGGTACCAAAGACCATAGTATAAGATTTTGTTTTGTTAAGCAGTAGTTTATTGTGTGATAGCCAGTCCTGTAAGATATTAAAATCCGATTGAAGAGAGATCTGAATTTGTGAAAAATCTGATTTGGATTTATATATGACAGTGTCATCAGCATAAAGGTGAGTACAACAATTAATGAGACAAGAAGATAAATCATTTATGTAAATAGAGAACAGAAGTGGGCCCAGAGTTGATCCAGAGTTGTATACATATTATATACACATTAAGAGGTAAAGAGGTTAGAGAATAACATTTAAGAAACAAGTAAGATTTCATAAATCAGACAAGCTGCTGTGATCATTTGTTAAGTAAATACTAACAATACATGGCTCTCACCTTATTCCGAGTCTGTGTCTGTCCGATGAGAATAAGAGCATTGGAGGAGATGATGGAGAGACAGAAGTTGATGAGGATGACTGAGCGCTCAGAGCGGATGTACCTGCCGGACAGAGACAGGAAGGAGACAGAAGGATTTGCATATTGTAAACCATGCATTGTTCATCAGGGTAAATCAGACAGACCCCTTTGCAACCCCAAGTTGAAGTTAACTTTAACCCTGTTGCAAGCTACATTATTGGCCCACTCTCTCCGGTATTTTCCCAATGGGAAGAGAGTAGGGTCCCCATATGTGAGTGTGTCACTTTCTTTAGGGTCCCCAATCATGAGGGATGTTTCCAATAAATGAATAAAATAATTTTTGACCACTTTGTTGTTCAGATATATCACATATTTGTAACTAAATGAGTTTAATGTGTTTTCTTCACTCCGCTGGGAAACTGCTCTCATGTCAAGAAGCATCAGATCAGTGCCTGCACTGCATCGTCCAATCAGTGAGCGATACACAGTAAGGGGGCGGGGCGAGTGTCTGAGGATTTCACCGGAGGATGGTGTCACTACCCGATCTGCAGTGCACATGTGCGAGATGGTCCGCCATATTGGACAACTACATCCGGCAACTCTAATAGGACACTTGACACAGTGGCTTTTAGCAAAGCTCAAAAGGAAAACGAGAGAGAGATGAGTTATTGTTATTACAACGTGACTTCACTATTATTTAACAACTTTTTTAATTGGGTTCTTTTATTTGGGGTTAAGTACATTGTCAGAATAAGTGAGGAATGGATTTAACTTCTGTTAGACAGCCATATGCCAAACATTTTTGCATACATTCACAGTAAATATGTATTCAGTATGATAGCTGTAACAGAAGTTAAATCCATTCCTCACTTATTCTGACAATGTACTTAACCCCAAATAAAAGAACCCCATAAAAAGAGTTGTTAAATAATAGTGAAGTCACGTTATAATAACAATAACTCATCTCTCTCGAGTTTTCTTTTTCAGCTTTGCTAAAAGCCACTGTGTCAAGTGTCCATCTCGGGTTGCCGTCCGGAGTTGTCCAATATGGCGGACCATCTGGCACATGCGCACTGCAGATCGGGCAGAGCTGCAGATCGGGTAGTGACAGATGGTCTGGTGGTTCCTTGGTTATAGCTCCTCCATTATCGCTCCTCGCTCCTCCAGCAGAAATAAGAGCCATGGGACGCTACTCAAGATGGCGCAGACAAATCAACTTCCGGCGATACCGAGACCGAGGAGCGAGGAAATGAGAAATAACCGACCTGAGACGCAGCATTAGCATCTGTCATTACCTCTAAACCTTTTTGCAGCAGAGCATTGAATTGCTAGGTAAATACTTAGACAGAAGCATGACGTGTGCTTGGCTTCCCATGTCAAACCACGGATCAAAAGCTTCCCATGAAAGAATGGTGATTATGTTTTATATTAAAACTTCTCTTCAAGCACACGCTAGCTGTTTGGTCTTCACTTAACACCACCATCGTTGTTTGTGTCTCGGGTTAACTGACATGTTGGCGTGATGTTACCACCTTACATGATTCACTGCTTAGTTACATAGCAGGTCACTGTATCTCACCTCCACACAGACACATAGATGATGATGAGCAGCAACAGAGTCAGAGAAGAAACTCCACAGCCGACGATCAGCGTCACCGAGGGCAGCTGAGTCTTATCCATGTTCTGAAAGAGGAAAGCACACGAACAAAGCTGTGGTCATGTGGTCTGATGCAATCAAGATTCATCAGCTGATCACACATGATGAACACCATCATTACACAGACACTTGGTCCGGTGTGTGGGCTTTGACAGGAGCTGTCAGCAGATGAGCACACAAGCAGAACAAGTCCCTGTTGACTGGGTCACTCGTGGTTCAAAAGCAGCAGACTACATTTCCCTGAGCATCACTTCAGTCTCTGATGTTTTCAGCAGGCCAACCTTCTCACAAATTGTAGCTCACGCTTAAAACAAACTGCAAAACCACTGATGAAGATCGCACGTCTTCGAGGGATCCAAAGTCCCGCTGACATGAAGTCAATTCAACAAAAAAACTATCAACAAGTTACTTTTCTTACTTAAGGGCCATTGAAGGTTCATTTAGTTAGCATGGAATCTGGACCCAAATATCTTCATTAGATCAGCAGAACGGCTTGCTAATGCTGATTCGGGATTCCTGGAGTAACAGAAGAGTGAAACTTCAACTTCAACTCATTATTTGTTTACATGTGACTTCAGGATTCCTGCATAAACCCTATCTGCAGGAATCCTGAAGTCACATGTAAACCCTTTTAAGACCTTTTTAAGACCCTTTCCAGATATGTTAAGACCTCATCGCCACTTTGCGTTTTAACCGGTTACCTTGGCGACACACTTTACCTCACATTGACTAGATACAGTATTGATTGTCCTTCCTCCTTATCTTCCAACCATTTGGACGCAGACTTGCATTTCCCCATAACGATGTTGTTTAGCAACCGGCGTAAACGGACCTCCGCGCTATCAAGCAGTGAGCGTGCGATGTCCTGTTCAGATGACGTCAAATCCAACGGGATGCCATCAATAAACTACACAGAATCACACGACACACCTACGCAATGATTACATTCAGGCAGACTGTAGAATACAACCTCTTTGGACACTTTATATACTTATTGAAAACAAGCTACAAAATGTAATACCTTGGGAAATGCCGTTTAATAATTTTTAATAGCCTTCATTTTCGCTAAATTGATTTATCAACTTTTAATACTTTTTACGACCCCGCGGACACCCTGGTTTACCAAGTATTGGGATGCTATTGATTTGAGCAATGGCATACTGGCTTCCTGTTTTTGCTTGATTTACTGTATTGTATTCATATGTTTCTGATTGTTTTGAGCTGGCAGTAAATAGGGCTGCACAATAAATCAAAACGTAACCAAAATTGCAATATGGACGAGTGCAAATTGCAGGAAGACCAATATTTGTTTAAGGCTAAATATGTTTTAATTGACCATTTGAATGAAGTACTGTGGAGCTGCAGATATCTTGGCCTAGAAATCATATTCTCAAGGACAGGACAAAACTGTTTGGTACAGATCATCATTAAGAATCATTTAATATATTTTTAATTGACAATGAGAATAATAATGCAATGATGGTCATTCCCTCGCATAGCATGAATCATAGCGCAATTGCAATATCAGTCAAACCAATACTAATATTTTTTTTCAAATCTGTAGCTACAGCTCTAGCAGCAACATGTATTCTAGAATCAGAGAAAAGCGAGGTTGTGTGTAGTTGGAAGTATCTGTAAACACATATAGCAAAGATGTCATCAGATGGACGACACGGCCAATATCAAAACTGGCCTCTTGATAATCAGCTACAAAGACGGCTGATTTCACTGGAGACTCACATGAGGGGGTTCAGTCAGTTAGAGCGGGTAGCCCCAGCTGGCTGTCTGCACAGTGTTTATGGTGGTCAGTGGAGATCTAAAGGTTAGAGGGATGACGTCACACCCGCACGCACGCACAGTATTGGACCGACCAACATTGCCTCCCCTAGCGCCAATAGAGCCAGTAAGCATGCCCACAAAGAGAAAGTAAGAAATAATTAAATAAGGCCAAATATAGCCAAGGTAACTACACAAGTGATGTTTAAAGTCCAATATGGCTCTTCACAACCATAAACACCCCCATACACAGGCCTTATGATGGTATGTAGTGTTGTGACCAAGTGAAAAGGGTTAAGGTGACGTGAAGGGACAGTTTCATGAACAAAGCTTTGCAGTTGGTGAGGGGGGTGGTTCGGAGGAGGGTTAAACATGGAGGGACTTGAGGGAGTTTCACCCCCCCACTTCCCTAATTGGCTGAGTTTATAGCCTGTCTTGTCTCCAGGTGTGTGTGCTGGGGCCAAGTTAATTAAATCCCTCTGATGAATCTGCACTGCAGTGAGTTCCTTCTCTAAAAGCAGGGGGAAGAACACGATTATGAGTGCATTCAAATGGAAAGGCGTCTGCTGAGACAGAAACACTTTTACTTCCTCCTTAGCCAATGACAGAGCTCTGCAGGAAGTCTCCCGCAGTTTCTAAAGAGAGCGCTACCATCCACACTAAAGTGACCAGACTGCATTATTCCACATGAGCAGCTACCTCCACTGAGGAAGACCATGGGATGTCATTTCATTTAGAAATCTATTAGATGAAGCTCCTGCCAATATTGGCAGTAAACAAATATGATTGCTTAAGCAAATTGCACAGGTATCAATTACACTCAATGGTATGCAAATGTTATTCTACTGATTGGAATATTAATCAAATAAAAGTAATTCATGCTTCCTAGTAATGGGGCCTGGCTGTAAATATAATATGTTGACTGAAATAAATGATAATAAAATGTGAAACTATTATGGACTAAACCATACTGAAAGGGAAGTATTCAGATCAGTTAAGATCTGGAGTCAGGTCATGGTTAGCTTAACTTAGCAGACGGAGGGAAACAACATATAATCTTGCTTGTTTTATCAGTGCTTCTAGGAGAAGGTGCATGCCTAAAGTGTCTGTTGATGAACAGCAGCTGGGTGCAGTGCACAGCTTCCTGGAGCGGTGTTTTCATCTTGAGTTTTCCAGGCAATTGGGGAGAATCCAAGAAATCTTAACGCTAACCCTAATTAAACTACAGCTAAGCTTTTGCATCGGTTACACAGGAGGAATAACATGCTTTTAATTGAGCTTTATATGTACTGAAAGAGGGATGTTGTTGCCTCGGACAGAGCTTATGCTAAGCTAACTAGCTGCTTGCCCCAGCTCCATATCTACCATGCAGACACAAGAGTCACATTAATCTTCTCATCTAACTTTTAGCAAGACAGCCAATGAGCACAAAACGCTAAAACTATTAACTAGCCATTAGTAAGCCAACTCAAAAAGCCAAATCTGAATACAGCATTCAGATCACACAGCCAAGACATTCCTCCGTACAACTTGTATGATGGCATGTATGACTACCATAGATATACAGTATGTGGTGTGTCCTGCATGCCCTCTGTTATCCGACTATGATGGCCCTGAATTGGCCTACAGCCCCGCAGACCTCAGTCGGTCCTATTTATTAACGTGTTACTGTTAGAATGTGGGCTAATTGGCCACAGAGGCTTGCTACTGCATCTATCCTGCCAGCACATTCAAACAAGCGTACGCAGGCTTAAAACATGTTACAAGAACACATCCCCCCCCCCAGAACAGAGAGGAACACACTAGCAGCGGTTTGGGGCCTTTGCCTTGACTGCATGTGCATTCTTTTCTCAGTCTGCCCCTCTAAAAGCCTGCAGCGGCGTTGAACTGAGCAAAATGGACACGAGAGGTGGCAGCAAGAGCGTAAATGATGTAGTAGGAAGAGAAAGGAAGCGAGGGCTTAAATGTAACACAGCAACTGAGGATGGAAAATGGTGTGATGAAATGACTGAGGCAGAGAAAGAAAAGAGGAGAGAGGGGGAGGCAGAGAGGGAAAAAAGGGGTTGGGTGTTTATCATGCTGGGGCAGTAGGAGGATAGCTGCAGTCAGAGCGGCTGGCCGTTTAGCAGCTACTACGTGTTGCAGTAGGAATAATTAGCATGACTGCCTCGCAATAACTAGACTGTGCAGAGAGGGACACTGAATGAGGGAGGAGAGGAGATGGCTTTGAATGAACCACCACAATCTTCCCTCAGGGTGTGTGAAGCCTCTGGGCTGCTACAGAGCTGTGGACAGGCTGCCTCTGCACACATGGAGGCAGGCTGCAGGAGGACAGCTAGCTGAGGAGGCACCATGCTCCACTGTACGGGCTAGCTTATCTTCCTGTTTCACAGTTGTACCTGTTTCTGGACAAGACAAGAGTCTGAACGTGAACATTCTTTAGGCTAAATGCTAATTACATTATGGCAACAGGCGCATTCATGACAATGCTAATGCTGTTCAGACACATATCATGTATAACATGTTCATCACCTCAGTTTCACATGTTTAGATGAAACACATTCTGTTAATGTTTGCTAAATATAGCAATACATTTCATATTTGTCAAGACCTGTTCTTTATGTAAAAGATAAGCAACCAGCTAGCATGGCAGCTAACATCAGCTACAATATGATAAATCTTACGCTATGGATGGATGGATGAACGGATGGATAGATAGATATGAAAATAATCCTCAATCGCAGGACAATCTTATCAAATGTAATGCTAATTTATTTGGGAACAAGCATGACTCGAGCACATCATGTATTTGACCTGGGTTTACAACACATATTTGGTCAATGAAAATTCTAAAAAGACAACATTTCTCTCCACCATAAAATGATCAAATGAAACATTATTTGTGCTGGACTATCGAGGGCTGTTGTTATATTGTCTAGCATAAGCCACATATCATGCCTTGCTCCATAAAAACAACCTGAGCTGTTCAGTGTGTCTGCTTGTTGAGGTGAGACCCCCTGACACACACTCAGCCACAGCTAACAGCTAAACTGAACATTAGCTCTGGGATGGGGACGGGCGTTGGTACTGTGACTGATGTCTGTTTTCATTATTGATTGACCGATTGATTCATGTGTAGTTCTCTGACTGAACATTAGCTGTCTAAAATGGTAAAGAATATGTCAAACATCCACCGTACATATAAATGCAGCAGTTTCTTTGAACATGCTGTAGCTAATGCCCAACAGTTAAACACCATAAAGGTCATCATTGTGCAATGATAAGAAGCAAATGAATAGCTACAATAATTAGTAGCAACTTCCAATTGACTCAAAGGAAACCCAATGTTTGCCACACATACACTTCACCAATGTCAACATATATTTGGCAACTCATTGTTATTTATTTTTTAAATCTGCCCAAGAGATGAACATGCAGGGGTTTCCCTTCCCTCTGCCCATCTCCTGCCTGTTCCGTAGGCTATCGAGAAAAAAGGTTCTGCTGCCAATCACACATGCTCTGCAGAAACCCCACAGACACTTTCTCTGTGTGTGTGGTACTACGTCTGACACGGTTAACAAGATGAATACCAATCTTATGTCTGTACATAATGTATGAAGCTGAAGACAATGATGTGGTTGGCCTAGCTTACCCAAATAAAGTGTTGAAAGGTGTACATGTAAAATCAAGTTAAGAGAATGTTGAATCTTTGACCACAGACTTACAACTAATGGACAGTAGAAAAACAAATGCATCTGTTGTTCCCCTTCTTCACCACAGAATCTAAACATTACATGACATGTATGTGAGTCGCTTTTATCCAAAGCGACTCACATACTCAGTACTGTGGGCAATCCCCACAGGAGCACTTTGGGGTGAAGAGTCTCAGGGACACAACGACATGCCGACTGCAGCGGGGTTTGAACCTGTGACCCCCTGATGGTGATAGTTCAATGTTAAAAATGTTTTAAAATATTTTGTAAACATAGCTTAGCGTTATGACATGAGCAGTGATTGTGTGATGCTTATCTGAGTCATGCGTCCACATGTGGTATCATCATGTACAGAGAGTGAGACCAAAGGAAAAATCAGTGCACAGCAATCACTGTGACGCACGCTATAGCTGGAGATGTTCCACAGAAGTATCCCATAGACATTTCTGTGTGTACACGTTAAACAGATTACATGTTTACCACAGCTTCGAGTCATTTTGTTTAGCTAGGCTAAATATGTCCTGAATCCAGGTTTAATTACCAAGATATGGAACTATTTCACAACAGGAGGGTTGAATTAGCATTGACCAATCATTTATTCAACTGATTAACATGAACTAGTCATTTCAGCACTGAGCACAAATCACAAAGGGAACACACCAGTGTAGCTTCCAGCAGCAAAGCATACAGCACCTTCTATCACATCCGTTCCTCGTGGTCATATACCTCACAACTGCAAATATCTTGAACAAAATAATGAAATATGTGTGTCTCAAGGTGATAACCCCAAGCTTTCTCCACCTGACCTTCTTTCAGGGCTGCAGCTAGCAGGAAACAGCACCTCTATGTTTTTAAGAAAGCTTTGGTGCCCATGCTGTTACCAGGGCAACTAGTGAACAAACTGCTTCCGAGGCAATTTCCAGTCTAATAATAACTAATCGCACTGAATGAAAACTCCCCTCCAACACACTGCCCTTTCCCCAAAGAATCTGGGGCAGGTTTGAGTCTGTGACACACACACACACACACACACACACACACACACACACACACACACACACACACACACACACACACACACACACACACACACACACACACACACACACACACACACACACACACACACACACACACACACACACACACACACACACACACACACACACACACACACACACACACACACACACACACTGCTGTGTCCATGCTGCAGACACAATGTGAATTACAGTGCTGTAGTCTTTTTTAAATGTGTGTTTCTTTGCATCACTGGATTGTCATGCAGCACCTTCTCCATCGGGCCTGGTAACCATGGAGACACCATCGCCTGTCTAATGTGTTGGAATATGCAAATATGAACAACAATTTCTGGATGGAATACAGAAGGTGGGGGTGGGGGTGGGGGGTGCATGCAGGTATGATCCTGAGCTATAACATGATGTTAAATCCCACTCACCATGTCAGTGTGTGACAGTGATCAGCACCATCGTAATGCTCAGTGCTGCCCTATGTGTGCATCCCTCCTGGAACATCTCCTTCTAGGTGCAACATTAATTAACAACCCCCACCCCCTGCAACATAATAAATACAATCCTTTCCCTTGGCAATGCTATAATAACCTTTGTTTGCAGCATGGCTATGGTATGTCCAGACAGAAAGGGAAGGAGGGGGACAGAGAGGGAGGATCTGTTGATATGTAATGACAATGACGCCCTTTGGAGAGGGAAAAAAACACAACAGCTGATGCATTCACATAAAACCCCCCCAAAACACACCGTTTACCGACAGCTTTACCGTTAACGAAGTCAAAGGGAGGTTGTCCGACTTACCATTTCGGTGTTTAGCCGTGCTAAAATGGCGAAGGTGGACAGTCTGTCACACACGCATTTGGTTCTGAAGGAGTCGACTAGCACGGCTTTGCAGCCCCTGGCAGACCAGGATCCCAGCAGAGAGGAGCTACACGGGAGAAACACACACAGACACACACGTTCACACACACAGAGAGAGCGATGCGGTGAATTCAGAGGCAGCCCCGGCAAAAGAGAAAACAGCGGTTCAAATCCCACCGCGTTACACCGGCTATTTAATCCACTTTACATCTCCGCCGGTAGCACAGGCGCGGAGAGGAGCGGCGATACGCGGTGTGAGGAGCGGCGAGAGGAGCGGCAAGAGGAGCGGCGATACGCGGTGTGAGGAGCGGCGAGAGGAGAGCCGGGACCACACTTCCGACTGCCCCACACATTTAATGTGATTATTTGAATATAAATAATCACAATAGTTATCAGGATTATTATCATTATTTATTATGGATGCCTTGATTAGCACTTTTATTTGTTGCTGTTAAATGTCAGGTAAAACAGACTAAGATTGACAACGACTTCCTGTTAGAGCTTTTGTATTCATCACACTGCCAACTGCCCCACTGATTTACTATTATTATTATTATTATTATTATTATTATTATTATAGACGTTGTAGTGTAAGTAGGCCTACTTTATTTTTATTAATATTACCCACAATTACTATCCGACTTTATCCAATTATTATATAATACCCCTCATTTGTATTATTAATAATAAAACAACCATTTATTTGCTCTGTTATTCCCCTTTGTATGCATATTTTTGAAGAATTGTCACATGGTGCCTTGATTAGCACTTTATTAAAAACAATTGGAGCAGAAAAAGCCTGAAAACATGTTTTCTTCACTTCACTGCCAACTACCCCACCAATTTACTTTATTTGTATCCTTTTATTATTATTATTATAGACGTTGTCCTGTTATTAAGTTAGTGGCTGCATATTACATTACTATAATACATTTTTAAATAAATATGACCCATAATTATCATCTGTATTATTATATAAACAAACTTTTATTATTTATAATTTGAAAAATCCCTATGCCTACGAAGGGAATCACAAAGCGAAGGGATTGTGTCACGTGGTGAGTTGATTAGCACTTTTATCTTTTTGTTAAATACCATATTATATCAACACCTTATTAACATTATACTGGCATTCCATTGCTTTGCTCATCATTTTGTGGAGGGAAAGACGCTTCAGAACCCCCCCCCCCCCCCCCCCCCCGCTGGAAACAGGTTTATCTGTGTTCTTACCACAAAAACCCAAATAATTGATGATGGTTAGTTGGGAATGGTTAAGAATACGTTAAACATCTTTCCTGGTGGCCTGAACTTTCCACATTAGACATTTGTAGAAGTGGAAGACAAAGTTATTTGACATTTGTATCATTTCCTGTTGAAAAATGTAGATTGTGTCAGTTATGACGAGTAATGACTTTTGCACTAATAGTTCTTATAGTGTATAGCTACTCAAGTATTAGAGGTCATATTGAATAGGGACACAGCTCTTCTCCATCATCATCACTTCACTGTTTAGAGTGGTGCAAAGTATTTTGTTGATGAATCAAAGCAGTTCGACATACAATATAATTCATATTTCTCGCAATTATTCAGAGAAACTCAATTTAGCCAGGCTCCTGATACAGACTGGCCCTACTGATCCAGTGCACAGAGAAATTAAGCAAATATGTAAAAGTGATGAAAAACCAACCAAGTCTTATAGATTAACCACATGGCAGAAACAGGCGACAGACTTCAATTATCTTCCAACACATGTACATCCACTTGATTGACTTCAATTAACAGACTTGTGCAGCACGCAGGTTTGGACTTTAACTTGTACTCGGGTCATGGAATCCTAATTAATTTGTTAGGCACATAGGAAGCTCTTGAAATGTCAATAGTGTTGCATTTTCAAAAGACGCTCAGAGGAACCCAAAGAGTCTACACAGACTAAAGGTCCTTACACACCAAACTGACACCAAAGAACACGTCCCGACGGAACGTCGCCTCACGTCTCCTGCGTCTTGGCCAACAGTCGCACTGGAACACACCGCAAAGACTTCAGCCGACGGCCAAGAAGCACGTACGAACTGCGCATGCGTGAGTGGCAATAACTCTCCTTACCAGCAGGCGGCGGTAGTGTGTATTCCTCATTCAAAAGAGGCAACAACCGGAAGACAGACTGCGTGATAACCGAGAGAAGAAGAACAGACTGCGTGATATAAACAAACAACAAATAGTGCGTTCCATTTTCACTCTACAGCGAGAAGCTCACGGGGCTTTCCCGAACCTGTCGAGAGCTGGAGTTAAATGAAATCTCAGATTTGCCTTCTTAATAGTTTGTTCGGGTCCCTCACTTCCGTTTCGCTTCTCATGCACTGATTCGCTAGCTGAACAGCCAATCAGAGTGATTTCTTTAGCCGACGGCCTGTTACCGACAGCCCACCGATTCAACATTTCGAATCGGCGGCGGAAGGTGTCGGCACGGCCGAAAAGACACGACGGTGCGGGACACACCAAGACACACCAATCTGAGTAGGGCGACACGACGCTCATCGACGGCCCGACATCTATCGACGCCGAAAATCGGCTTGGTGTGTGTCTTAAAACGTTCTTAAAGTAGTTAGTAGTTAGTATTCTGCATGGATTATTGTAACCATCAATTTCTCTTAATGGGTCAGTGTGTGATTGGATTGCTAAAGGTACGGATGATCAATTATTGAAGACAATGACGGGTGTGACACACTATTTATATGGTAAGTGATCCAAAGGCTTTTTGATTCTGTTCCATATTATATATTAAGCAGTTGCCTCATAATCCATCTCCGTTACGACTGCTGCAGAAAACAACAGAAAACATGGGCACAGCGTCTCTATTTCATTTATTACTGCCAAAATAAATTGTCTATTTCAGGGAGCTTTCTAGGAAATTATTATTATGAATAAACAGACCAATAAAAAAAAAGCATGACAGCATCTGTTAATACTTGCTGTTCAAGAACAAGAGACTCTGCACAAACCAGACTCAGTGAAACTTTACACCAAACCTCAGATGTCTGTTTAAATTCATGATTTAATACAATGGGGTGAGAAATGTAAGCACAAACCAACATGAAGTCTGTTCGGTGTTGTTCCACTAAATCCTCTAGAACAGGTTCCGATTCTCCTAGTATTCACTGAAATATGTGCTGGGATGATGGTGGAGAGCGATGTCCAATTCATTACTTCACATTTCCATGGATGTTTGGGTTGTATTGTGTTTTCCTTTAATTTATAACCTGTCTGTATAACACCTTAACACAAGTTAGGAGATAACCTCCCACACACATGAGAAACACATGGATGTGAGCCTTTTCAGAACATTCAAATGCACAACAACCTAAAGAACACACTACAGGAGAGGGAAAACAAAAACAGAATAGAGCCTCTTTAAAGGTCACCTATTATGCTGTATTTGAACAATATATTATAGGGTCATATCTATACAAAACATGTCTCTGAAGTGTTTTGCTCAAAATACCAAATCACCCATTGTAATATGCCTCATACCCCTCTATTTCAGCCCTGTTACTAAAGTCTGGCCCTTTAAATGTAACCGAGCTGCTGTTGGCCACGCCCATTTGGAGCTGCTGCTGGCCACGCCCCTTTGGAGCGTCCACATGCAAGCAGTGAGCTCTGTGGAGAGAAGGCTGTCTACCAGCAGAAACTCACCTAAACGCTGCCGTGATGAAACGCCATATTAGGTTCCAAACCACATCAAGCATTATTTCTGAAACAGTATGGAGCTCAAGCTCTTACCACAAGGACAGTAACTTTTATTTCCGGCTTCTTTACTCATATTCTCTCCAGTACAGCTCTGAGTGTTAGCGATGCTTGCTAATGTAAACAAAGACAATATTACGTCCAAAACACGTCACGCATTGTTTCTGATACTGCGATGTTTCTGATAGAGGATGATAGGTTGGGACGTACGTTGCCAGGAGTTCAAAGTAAAGCCAGCCCACATTTTAGTAATGATGTCATGACCGCAGCAAATCTGGATCAGCTCCGTTGTTCCCCCGTTTTTAGAGATGTGGGTACGGAGGTAAAGAGAGAGGGTTTTATTTTCTGACACGTTTCTCCTTACACACCGGGGACACATATTTATGTATAAAATACATTAAAAAGTGCATTTTCCATAATATGTGACCTTTAAAGGAAATCGTATGGTGGTTAATGTTGGAAATTTAAACAAATAAAAAGTGCAACACAACTGCACAGTTATGTTTAGTGACACATCATGTTTTGCCGTAAAATAAGTATTTCTATCATGTCATTGAATAAGTTGTCTTTTGGTGCAGCAGTCTGTTGAGTGAACATCCTGTGTTCGTTAGACCCATCAACCCCAACCTATTCCATATGCTCACTTGCCTTTGAAACATATTGTTGACACAAATGAAAACATAAACTGGGACAAACTTGAGTCAATAGATAAGTCAAAGTCTCCTCAACACCAATAGCAATAAGCTCAACAAAAAAAGGTGATAAGCAATACTTTTTTAAAGCCACATACTCACGTCGATTGATTTTTTAAGCTCACAGAAATCTGGGACTCAGTTGAGTTGTGTGAGTGTGTGTGAGTGTGTGCCTACGTGTGTGCGCATGTGTGTGTGAGAGAGACAGAGTTAGCCCCAGGAGGTGACTCAGTGCTGACATTAGCACATCACCTCTAACAGAAATCCAATATATTAAGACTCAGTGCTGTTTCTCTGTATGGCTGACGTGATTAGGCCACAGGCCACAGGCTGAAGCAGTCTGCCAGCACAGAGGGAATATAAACACTGATGAAGGCATCATGTTATCTCGGCCTGGGCAGGAGACTCCACATTGAGAACAGAAAGATGCTCTTCTACTGGTTACACGTCACATTGCATTATAGGAAATGTGGGATTCATGGTTTTTGAAACTTGACCTATATACTAGGAACTTAAAGTCAGTATAAGTCAGACTCTGCTGCTTCACTTTGAACTGTTCTTTTTCTGCATGTTCCCCAACTTTAGAGAATGGAATTAGTTTTTCACATGTCAACATACAATATTAATATACAAC